AAGAATGAAGGCCATTTCACCCAGTTACTAAGTAATCTATGGCACCGAAGTTTAAGACAACTTGCTTCAGCTTTATGATCATTGTTAATTGAATTTATGATGTGCCTGTTATTCTTCTAAGCACTCATTTATTTCTCACAACCCCACTGTGAAGCAGGCAGCACCTCATCCTACACATTAGGACGCTGTGGCACAGAAGGTAAAATAACCAGTGCAGGGTGAACTGTTAATAGACATGAGTTAATTCGGGCTATCCAGTTATAAAGCGTGAACCCTTAACCAACAGTCATTAACATGGCACTGATCTCGCCACTTCATTCCTTCTGGAAAAGCAGGGAGCAAGAAGACAGGGGCTGTTAGTTACTCCCTTGCCTCCTAGCAGGTAGCAGCAGGGTACACCATGCAAGGTGCTGATATGCCCCAAACAGGTGCTAGCAGTGCTATCAGCTGTTACTCCAGCTGCATGTCACTGTCTTTGTTTACAAAACATTGACAGGCTTTGATTTTTCTATGGACTTATACAAATGGAGTTTATCTTTTATGTATGGACTTGTCAAACCTTTTAGAAATTTCCCTTTGGCCCCTGCAATGCTCGTACCAAGTAACTGAGAATTACAAAAGCCTATGAATAAGATCCTGGGGAAAATCTGCTCAATGGCCAGGAAATTAGGAGGCTGCTGTGGGGAGTGGGGGAAAGCTGCATTTAGAATCAGAAGACCCAGCTTAGAGTCAAGGCTCAGCCTGCATGAATTACCTGGTGAAGCAACCAGTTCACCTTGCCCAACTTCAGTATTTGCACGTGTAACACAGAAAGAAAGACACACTGTGTGAAGCAGGAACAAAATAAAAATAAAAGGACATTCTTTTCAACTGCCCCTATATACAAATTTTGGGTTAATATAAAAAACTTTCCACACTTTTGATACTGTAAGTAGCACATAGTAGTCACACAATGAATAACAAGGAGCCACACCATAAATGATAAGGAAGATGGTGGTTAACAAAACAAAAACAAGACAAACACAAAAGCCTTTCCCAGCCTCCCATGTTCCAAAATAGGCTGCAGTGCTTCTTGGTGGAGCTGTCATAAAAGGTATTAATCACCAAACATGTTTTGACAGTTCCTGCTCACTCGGAAGCAAGTTTCTGATGCTCTCCAGTCTCCTGATTCATCCAAGGCTGTGCATCCTGCCATAGGGAGCAAACGACCTGGGAATATTTCCATGTTCTTCTTTACTGCTCAGCTGGAGATGGGTAGAAGAGAGAGGTGGGTGTGGAATGCCATCCTCCCCTGAGAACATTAGCCAGATACATTCACAAGGAAAAAAGACAACCTTGATGACATTTATCCATCTGGGACAGACTGAAATTCATCTATTGTTTATCTGAAATTCAAGTTGAAATTTAAGTGGGCACCCAGGGGGAAATAACTGAGAAAGTACCATCTCTAAAAAGTGAATAATTAAATAGTAGGCACTAGATTAGGGAAACAACCCCAAAAAACAAATGTCTCTGTCCTTTCACCTGTGTCTGAAAAGTTGTTCCTTCTGGGAAGCTGGGAGCACACTGCTTTTGGAAACAGACCCTCAGGTCTGCAGAGGGAAGTGCTGTGCATCTGAGCACTTCAGCATACTCTGTAGACACTATTATTCCTGAGCCCTAGGGTCACCACATTCGATTTCAATGAATCTGAATTTCAGACAGTGAATGATGTTTTAGTATACTTACGTTCCAAATTCCATGTTTATAATAAAAATAAAGCAGAAGTATTCTAAGAAGTTATACTAAAACAAGATTCATTGTTTATCTAAAACTCAAACTGAATGGGGCATCCTGCATTTTTGTTGGATTCATTGAGGCACCTCCCCGTCTAACCCCAGTCCATATGGAGCTTCAACTGCCCAGTAGTTATCAGCCCATGAAATCATTGCTCTTCAAAGTCTACCAGAGTCCAATCTTTGTAAAGAAAAGTCATATCAAACTGCAAATCACCTGTCAGTGCACTCCACTTCAATAAGCTTTACCTATCTTGTCCTAGGTTTGCAACTCTAATGTAATCACTCAAGGGGACTTAAATTTAAAACCTCAAGATTAGTGAAAAAGGAAAAAAATGACCATTAGTTTGGAAAACTTCAACTGGTGATTTGTACATTTGTGGCAAATTAATACGCTGGCAAATTTTGGTGGTCTTACTGTTTAAAACTGAGAGCTACATAGAACATACATACAGTTGCATAACTCACAAGACTGCACCAATAGTCAGCAAAAGCAAAAATCTACTAATGCAACAATGCAAAAGCTCTTGAACAGGAAAGGAAACAATCAGTAGGGTGAAGAAACAACCTACAGAATGGTAGGATACATTTACAACCTATGCAACCTATCTGATAAAGGATTAATATACAAAATGCATAAGGAATGCAAATGACTCATTAACAAAACAAACAACAAATCCTTCTAATTATTAGGGAAATGCAAATCAAAATCTTAATGAGATACTACCTCACTTTAGTTGGAGTGGGTATTACTAAAAAGATGAATAATAACAAGTGTTGGTGAGCATGTATGTGAAAGCCCTTCCCCCACCACTTCCAGTGCTGGGGCTCTAACTCAGGGCAAATGCTTACCCCAACTTTATTCTCACCTGTAAAGGATTCTTTTCTTAATTGTTAGTGGGAATATAAATTAGGACAGTCATTATAGTAAATAACATGACATTTCCTTGAAAAATTTAAAACAGAATAATCATATGGGATCCTGCAATCCCACAACTAGGTTTATAACAAAAGGAAATGAAATTAGTATTTCGAAGAGATACTCTGTGTTTACTGCAGCCCTGCTCACAATAGTGAACAGAAACAAGCTAAATCTTCATGAGATCAACAGATAAAGAAAATGTGGTATATATGCACTGTATTCAGCTATAGAAAAAGATAAAAGCTAGTCATTTATTACTGGAACATGGATGACTTTGGAGACATTAAGGGAAATAATTTGAGCACAGGAAAACGAATCCTGTACCATCTCAGTCATACACGGAAACTAAAAATGCTGCTCTAATAGAAGTCAGAGTGTAATAATGGTTACCAAGGGCTGGAAGGTGGCATGTGGCAATCAGTACTGGTGATGCAATTACATATGTTTTGGCACTCTATTATAGTAGGGTGCTTTCTTATAATAATGTATATTTCAAATAGGTGGAGGAAAGGATTCTGGAAGTTCTTACCAAACAAAAAAAAAAAATGACAGATATTTAAACTAATGGCTATGCTAGTTACCTTAGTTTAATCAACACACAATGTATTACATTGTACCCTATAAATATGCACACATATTATGTGTCAATCTAAAGTAAAACAAGCAAAAAAAAATCAACCTGTGAATGGTCTGCAGAACCAGCATGAACATTCACAGAGCAAGGCAACTAAAGTCAACTAAAGTCCATGCCCACAAGCATTCTTTCCCACCTGAACCAACCTCTTCACACATACTTAGACTCCTTGCATTGCTTCACTGTCCGTGGAAGCAACCGCTGCTATGGGGCAGTAGAGTTGTCTCCCCAGATGAATCACTTTTGACTTCTCCCTCACCTGTGGTGTTACAGTTTGGGCCCTTGTTATCTTGCTGAACTACCGCAATACCTTCACTAGTTTCCCTGTGTCTACTCCCTGGAGTGGCTCTTAACCCTGACTACCGTGGAATTACCAGGAGGCGTTTTTGTTGTAGTGGGGACGTAATTCAGAGCTTCCCATATGCCAGGCAAGTGCTCTACCACTGTGCTACACCCCCAAAACAATAGGAAGGAATTTTAAAAAAAAGGCAGGGCCTGGGTCCCACCCACAATGTTCCAGGTCAGCGTGTGTGGTGGTGCCACCCAGGTGTGAGCCTCCCAGGAGACCTAAATGTAAAGAGAAGCGCTGCTCTATGCTCTAAGCTTGCAGGCTCAGTCCCACAGAGCTGGTTATGTTGAGTTCTTGCTGAGCAATAAACAAGTCGCGGATACTTTTCTTCTGTCTGTTAAAGAAGGGCCAGGTTTTCAATTTACCTTAAACTGTCCCCAAACCTGCCCTTTCCACCTCTTTGTTAACCTCTCCTCCAATAGTGACTCCCACTGTCCTCAAGCTGGTCCATCTGCTGGTCTTCAAACGTCCCCACTTTAGCCCTTGTCTCCCTGTCCCCCTGTCCAATGGCCTCCTCCTCCAGGCGGGTTATCAGTTGCAACTAAGCCTGCCAGTGCCTCAGGAGGAGGTAATCTCTTTCCACAAGCCTACAGGGGCTCAACTCTACCTGGCCTGGTCATGGCATTCCAGACATGTATTTCGTTTCTCTCCTGTCCTAAAAGAAGTTAAACACCACGGGGTCTTCCAAAAGCTGACTGAAGTAAGCGCATCCCACACAGAAATACAGGTGTCCAATATTTCTGGAACTCTTTTGCAGGAAGCTTATAAATTTTGAAGCGGTAATTTAGGAACAGTGGTATCTAACCAGCAAAAAGTTTCCACTGGAACTAAACCAAGAGGCTTTCAGCTTTGTAGCTCAGGAATTCCAGATAAACAGAGAAGCCAGGTAAGAACAGTGGCTACCTCAAGACAAGCCCGCTGAAGGAGTCCTCCCACTAGGCAGGGGAAGGACCCTGGGCAACTTTACTCAAGAGGGCACTATTTCCTGCCACAGAAGGAGGCAGCGCCAAGGCCCTGATGTAAGTCTTTGCTATTGAAGTCCCGATGCATGAATACGAGTTTTGTTTTCATGTGAAAGTACCCTGGAGTCATTTCAGAACATCCTCCAGCCAACCCAGGAGGAGGAAGTTGCTAGGCAGCAAAGGCCTACAAACTTTTAGGAAGCAAAGGATGGGCCCAGGAGATGCAGCACCGAGAGCAACCAGAAGTTCTTCGCGGCCGGGCCTGTGCTGGCCTCCGGGGGCCCGCGCGCGGCCTGTGCCCTCGGGCAGCTCGCCGCTGCCCCAGCCGGGGGACCGCGGAGCGGCCCGGCCCGCCTACCTGAGCGCCAGCAGCCTCTCGCCCAGCAGCGCCAGCGCGATGCCCAGCAAGCCCAGAGTCACCAGCCGCCCCATGGCGACCCCACCGCGGTCTCGGTCTCGCAGGGCCCCGGCCGGAGCGCGAGGGCGGCGCCAGCTCCCCGGCCACGCCTGGCTCAGGGCGCAGCTCCGCCCTGGGGTGGCCGCCGGCCCACCAGGCCGAGTCCCGCACAGGCCCGGGGCGGGGCCCTTCCCGGCCACGCCCCGCAGACCCGGCCACGCCCCGCGGACACGGCCACGCCCCGCAGACCCGGCCTCGGCACGCCTTCCTGTGACCCTGCTCTTTAAGGATAAACAGCAAGAAACTTCTGAGGGTTTAAAGTTTCCTGCTCTGCAGGAAAAACCTTTAGCTTGTGGATATTTCAGGTCGGAGTCGCTGTTTTTGATTACAGGCAGGGAGAATCGCGCTTCCAATAAGACTTGCTTTAGACAGGACAGCTGAGCAGCGCTTAGACACTTGTTTCCTACCCAAGGTCGACGGCAGGGAGTAGGAGTAGATTTGCTGTTTCTTCCTTTAATACTTTCTTTTTATTCTCAGAACATGAAGGAATGAAGAAAAATATAAGGAAACTTACCAATTACGATCGAGGCAAACTTAGTAGATCAAATTTCTAAGGATTTTCAGTATTTACCACCCTGTGACATGTGGGCAGAAACAGTCAAATTTTGCCCATTTTAACAAACATCAGTGTTATAAACAACCATTAAATAAGAGCAGATGCCAGTTCTTCACCTGCCCACTCACGAAAAAGAAAAGGGCAGATTGTGTGCTTTGGTGCACCTCAGATTTTACTACGTGGTAGATGGATAGTTTAATACTTGTCCTCTGAAAAACGGAGGTTTTTGTTTTGTTTTGTTGTTGTTTTTTGTTTTGTCATGGACTCCTTTGGTGGTAGTGGATCTGTAGATACCATTGACAGTAATCTTAAAAACAAGTTGGTGCCATAATAACATAGTAATGTTATGCTACATTGCTTAACATATCAAATAACAAACCTAAAATATTCTTTCAGATGACAATGAGTGTATTATTTCACAATGCCTAGAATAACTATAATGAAATAAGGAAGCTATCTTTTCATTAATAGCAAGATTACAAGTACTGCTAGTGTTTCTGAAGTTTGTTTCCTACTTTTGTAATCAAAGGACATGCTAAAGTTCAGTGGAAGTAAATGCTAAGTTGCACAAGAAATCACATGTTATTTCATCTGTGATCATTAGTACTTCTGATTTTTTTTGGCAATGCGTGGGACCCTGTACCTGGTAGGCATACTTTACCACTGTGCCACACTCCCAGCCCCTCCTACCCTATTAATGAACCACTTGGATTAAGAGCTCTAACAGGTACAGCTGTGACTATAAAATAGAAATAAGATCCCTACACGTATTAATCACTGAGGAAGGGAAGAGCCTCAGAATTTAGAAGGAAGATCTAAAATGGAAGGGCTGGGGATAATATCTAGGCTTCTTGCTTAAGTTTGAGACTCTTGTTCCAAGGATTCCTGAGTAGTAGTGGGAAGTACATAAAACTGCTTTATGGACTCTGGGTCAAGAGGCATGTGCCACAAAATGAAAAAAAAAAAAAAACCCATAGAGTATAAAGTCACGATAAGACTACCTAATTGCATGTTGCTCTTAATGTTTATTTCTTTTTCCTTATTCCAAAACTTAAAAAAAAAAAAAAGTATATGTTCACAATTTAGCCTTTCTGCTAAAATGAAAGGCTTGAAAGCTTGCGTCTTTTAGGCTGGATTCGAGAGCAAATAACAAGCTCTTGTCCTGGCTGAGATCCCTAATGGGTTTTGTCAGTAGTTCTCACCAAACGGCGCTCACCATTATTCCAAACAGCCACAAGGAAACAGCAATCCACACACAGCTTGCCGACAGATTTCAGTGTCCTATCTATGTCTTGGTTCTGGATTCCCAAGGGGAACAGAGTCCTAGACTGCAGCATAAAAAAATCCACATACAGCCAGAGCAGCCTCATCACCCTCGAAGGCATGTTCTTTCTGTGAACACTGCACCTGAGGAATAGTGGACTCCTACACCCTTCTTCGTTCCAAATGTTGCTACTGAAGCAACTTCTGCGAAAGCTTTGGGCCTTGCCTCTGTCCTATTACCATGCTCAAACAGACTCATTCTCAGAAGAGATTTTCTGATTGGGAAATCAGAAACACATCTATCCTTTTTTCGTAAGAATGTTGCAATGATTACTAAATGTTACCATGTAGCAATACCTTTCAGATAACTGGAGCTTCTAGGGATCACCAAATATGTTTATGTTGTACCAGAGGGAAAGTGGTCAGACTACAGATAAACGAAGTTACTCAATATGGAAACAAACTTGTTCTGCAGCCTGCTAATGTACTGACAGTTTCTTATAGTTGGTATCAAACAGAGTTTCTCAAATAATGACCATCAACAGATTTATAATTAGAAATTTAGTGATTCTCAAGCAAAATTTCAAAAATAATAATACCTCTCATCAGTGCTTTTCAAGCTATTTTTAGTACAGGATAAATTTTCCTTTGCCTTTATAAAATACAATGAAAATGAATTACTGGAAAATGAAGTACAGTACCAGGCATGTAAAACATGAGCCCAGATTTTTTATAATTCGATTCCACAGACCTGAAATTACATGGTCAAATTTCTGTAGCCATTGCTAAAGGGTCACCCTCACTTTTTTGTACTTATTCCAGCACAGACCAGAAACAGAGTTTCTGAAGTGAGGAAAGTCTTTAGTACACACTCACTACCCTTCCTGATAGGCTTCTCGACTCCTTCGAGCCCTATGCAGAGCACTGTCCCATGTAATATTAGTGAGAGTAAATATATTTTAAGCTTTATGCTAGCCATATATGTTTAAATATTTATTTTCCACAAATTAACAGGTTAAATCAGGTAACTCATGATTGTTGTCATTCTACTCTGTGATAGGGAGTCGAGCCTTCTATGTACCTTATGTTTTTTTTCTCCTCCTTAACCTTGTTTCAAGAAGTGAGGCAGATGTTTTGTAAAAATACATTGAAGAGAGATATTACAAATGGTCTTTATTATTGGCAAAGGAAGAACTTACAGATGCATTGTTCCAAAAGATACTTGAAAAATAAAGGAGACTTTCCTCCAGGCATGCTCTTTTCTTAAAAGTTCTATATTTAAAAACATGAAGAGCACCCTGGAGGCTGAGGCAGGAGGATTGTGAGTGTGAGGCCAGCCTGGGCTATGCAATGAGGCCCTGTCTCCAGAAAACACCCGCAAACCTAAAACTGGTGAAGAAATGCTGTAACAGAAACATAGCGATGGGAGCAATATATTCTTAAACATTTATATTAAACAAGTTAACATATTCAAATATTGGGTTAAAAGGTGAACTTGTGGTTTGTAGAGGTCAAAATAATATAAAATTAGAAGCATAATACAGTGTGCAAGATAAGACATACTTACTTATGTTTTATAAGTGATAGTTGTTCTTGGCCTACGGTAGATGGCCTGGTTCAGTTATGGAAGACACGTTTAAAATGAACGTGTGCTTTCGATTATGTTCATGTGTCTTTATGAAGTATGAATAAATGAATTCTGAGGTAACACTGAAAACCATCATTTAAGACTCTGTGAACTTAACATCGAGGCCAGGTGGTCTAACTGTTTCAATGGGACCCAAGCTATTTCTTCAGAGGGCTGTAGGTTTTGCTGCCTGTCTTCCAGGAGCTGTTGGACTCAAGATAGAGAGGACAACAGGGGTTGACAGCACTAGAAAGAGGCAGGGTAGAGGACAAAAAGTGTCAAATTCCCAGCCTTCACTGAGGCTGATTTTGGATGGCTTGAACTTCTATGGAAAAAAGTAAAGATATGCTTGTCTCATTCCAGGTAATACATGCACATTTTCTATTGTCTGGAGCAGTACTGTTCATGATGATCAACTTGTGAACAAGGTGCATGATCCCTGAACAAATATGGCTCAGTGAAGGAGTCAGTGGAAGTAACAGTCAGAGATATTTACTGAATACTTCCTGTGGCACCAACAACCCCATTTACTCCTTGAAATTGATGCTATTATTAGCTTGGATTTAAAAGTGGTGAAACTGAGCCCAGAGGTTAAGAACAGGGATGCACACCTGGAAAATGGTGGACCAAAGATCCAATATGGAAAATTATATTCAGACCCCATTGCAACCCTTGTTATATCTTTGCTTTATTGTCCAATAAAAATATTTCTATTCTTTTGCTTCTTATGGCAAGAGTAGAGAGGAATACAGTTGGGAGAGCTATAGAAGGGGATTTCATTGCAACTTACACTCTTGTGTGAAGGTTTAAAATTAGGTTGCTTTTCATATTTTTCCTGCTTGCACTAATTTAATTATGTTATGAGTCTCCAAGCAGTTACTAAGAGTTCAAAGGTAATGGAGACAGACTTTCCTGGCCACAATGGTGATCAGAGTCTAGTGAGAGAACAATAGACAATTGGACAAACATCCAGTTATATGTTAGGGTCAAATAACTTTGATCTTTATTGTAAATACGATGTAAGGCCATTAAAGATTTTAAAGAAAGAGAAAAAACATTTATGTTTTACAAAGCCCACTATGATGCTATGGGAATGATGGGCTGGAATTTATTTCCCAAGTCTACTTGAGAGAAGATAGGATGTATGCAGGCAGAGGCAGTGGGAAGGGAAAAGAAAAGCAGATTTAAGGAATTTTAGGGTTTGAATGGTTAGAAGTGGGCGGGCAACAGTATGAAGGGGGAGGTTGAGGGTGATTCAAGTTGTTCAAATAATGGTGCTCCCTAACTGGGATAGGAGAGGAACAGGGAGGGAGGTAAGGATAGGGAAAAATGAGTGCTGTATGGGACTTAGCATACTGGATATGCTGAGGCCCAAGAGATAGTTGCAGACATACCCCTAGGTCTCATAAATGAGATCTGGTCTGGAGGCAGAGACTTGAGAATCATTAGGAGAGAGAGCAGCAGGCTCAACAGGTCTATAGGAAGATTGAAGGTTATAACCTCAAGTGAAGTAATATATGATAGAGCATTCTGGCACAACAGAAAATCAAAAGTACAAAATGGACAGGTTTGCTGAGTTGAGAATGTGGGAAGGAGCACACACCCATGGCGGCTCGGCTGTCCCCTTCAACCAGATACAGAGAGGCAGAGGATTTATGACCTCTGATTAAGGTGGTGCATGGGGCAGAT